CCTAGCGAGACAAAGACGCGGCCAAGTGGTGCTGCTTTTAATATCTCAGAGTTAGCGGTGGGGATCCAATTATTTTCAGTTTGGATACATTTCCCCTTTCTCGGTACCTCCATGTGCATAAATAAGAGGAAGTGGCCTTCCGCCACTGAAAAAGGGCTGAACGCGGGCCACCGGGCGCATCCGTCTCTCCCACGCAGATCCCGGACGTCCGGTCCCGGGTCTTCCTCCCCAGGTGACATCTTTTTATAGGTGAAGGACAGGAGAGGAGTTTCAGTGTGCAGGCGAACGGGTGCGTAACGACAGGAAGAGAGAGGGCGCTGAGAGAGAAGGGCGCACCCTACAGCAGCACGCTCTGGGGCGGGGCGGGGGGGGCTGCTGCCACGGGGCTCCCCTCGGGCTCGCGTGTGGGAGCGCGGACACAGCTGTCCACCTCCGGGCGGCTTTGATTTTCTGAACCACCCCATAAACAGGCCACCTGCCCTGAAACGCACCGGCGGCCTGTTCCTGTGGATCTGCACAGGCTGCACCCGACACCGAGACTCAGAGACAGGAGGCGAGGGAAGAAATGCGGGGCGGGGGGGACGGGGCGGAGCGTGGCACCCGGGGAGGGAGGGGGTGCTCTGCCCGGTCCTGGCAGGAAAGGACGCTCACTGCCGTCAGGCGCGAATGCTGCTGAGCGAGCCTCAGGCGTGAGTAAAAGCCAACCCCGCACGGCGACCCAGGCCAGCCCCCAGGCTCTGCCCAAGGGCGAGGGGACACACAGCTTGCCGAGCGCTGGCAGCGCCCAAGTCCCGATCCCCTCCCGGCACCCGAGGCCTGGAGGCAGCAGGGGCACCTGACAGCTGTACCCAAGCCGACCCGTCACTCGGTCGTTCACTCGAGACATAGACACTCGACTGTTAGCATCTCCGTCTCCGAGCTAATTTCTCTTTCACATGACACAGGGGCACGAAGGAGCTCAGTGACATCTCCTTGTGGTCACAACGTGTGCCCTGACACCAGAAGCAGAGGCCCCGGCCCCGCCGCGAACAGCAGCGTACTAGGCAGAGTGACTCTCGCCCACAGGCTCAGGACCCTGAAGGCCCAGCCCTGCGCACAGCAGACGGCCCCTCTGTGAGCCCCCCACCGAGCCAATGCTGCTCGCCGTGTCTCCCCGCTTAAAGTCAATATTTTAAGTGTGTGCTTAAATGGTATCAATAGCAATTAGAGAGGGGAACTCAGGTTCCACTGCAGGTGGAGTTAATTGTTACGGCATCGATCTCCTGCACACGTTCCTTTCTCCAAATTACACCTGCACTGCACCCTGGGCGGGGGTGGGGGTGGGGGATGGCGCGCACCCTCTCCCCTCCTGCGACAATACATTTCGTATCGAATGCACTGGAAAAAATGGCAGTTGTTGCAGAATCCGCCCAAAAGGATTTTTTTTTCTTCCTGGGAGTAATTAAAAGATGCTTTTCTTGACTAATGGTCCCCGGTTTGGGAAGGGGAAGTCAATACGGCCTCGCCGCCGTCAGCTTCGATTGATCACGGTGCCGCCTGAGTTTGACCGGCAGTTCTCAGGGTGGCTGGGATTCACTGGAACCAATTACCAGGCCGCCAAGCTGCCCTCATCGGGGGCAGGGGCAGCTGGCACCAGGCCAGGCAGAGGCGCAGAGATGGTGCCTGTTTCCCCAACTCACCCGCAGGTCTGCAAAAACCCGGTGCGCGGTGGGTTCTGGGGACTGGCTGGCTGTGTCTCTGGAGCGGGATCTGCTGTGTCCTACGCCCCCAAGGTCCCCAGTCTGTGTGTGTGTGTGTACGCGTGCGCGCAAGCGTGTGTGCAGGGGGCGGAAAGCGCATTTCTAATTATATCCCACTGTCAGAATGAATCTTCTGAACAAGCTGGAATGGACTAGAGCTTCTCGGGGAAACAGCTGGGCCCCTTTTCAAAGAACGAGGCTGGATAGATTGCACTAGGCTTTTCCTTGGCTAGAGAGAAAAATTTACCAAAATATTTCTTCTTAGGATCGCCTTAGGGCCACACTGAAAGACCCCTCCAGCTGTGTGCACCAGTCAGCACAGGCTCTGCAGACCAAGTGCGGGCGGGGGCGGGATCCAGGCCAGACGCCAGTTCCCACATCACAGACAGAAGGCCCCGTGAAGTTGCCGGCCCAGACCTCACATCTCCCACTTCCGTTCCGAGCAGCTGCCCAGGGGGCAGTGCGGCGGGGGCGGGGGCGTGTGAGTGACTGTGACTTCGAGGCGCTTTCCAGTGGTCAGTGTGTGGAAGGCCAGCTTGCTGCGCCGGGACCACAGTCTCTGCCTTGTCCCCACCCCGCCCAGTGATGCTGCGGGCGGCCTCTGGCCCTCTTGGGAAGCGCGGAACACACAGGAACGCACAGACAGACCCAAGGACTCACCCTCCGCCTGCACCCGGCGGTGCTGTTGTGCACACCCGCCCCCACCAGGCCCTCCCAGGCCCTGGCTCGGTTTGGTTTGGGTGACGAGCACCATGCTCATCTCCCAACTCAGCCCATGGGCCCCACGGCTTCCACCTCCCTGCCTCTGCCTAGGTCACTCCCCACCCCTGGGTCTGTAGACCACCCCACGTTTTAAAGTCCAGCTGGGATGCTGTTCCGCGGGTGGGGTGGGGGTACTTCCCGGCACCACAGCTGGAAGAGCCCCTCCCCGCCACAGACTCCGCCCAGTCCCCGCCCCCTCGGCGGCAAGGGCGCTCTCCAACCGCTGGGCTTGTCTTCCAGGAGGAGGCGCTCCATGAGCACCTGCAGGGCTTAGGGAAAAAAGGACTCCCTGGGAGGGTGGCTGGAGGTGCAAAGAAACATTCAGTTGTCCGGTGTGTTCATCCCCTTCACGACAGAGAGATTTCCGAGATCCCGAAGTGGCCTTTGGAAACACCAGGCAGCCATGCCGCCACCCCCATCACCTTGGAGAGGGCTTTCGACTCAGCAGCTCTTTAGGGGACGCACGTGACCGAAGGACAGGAGGGACTCAGTGGCAGTCACTCCATGCGTGGGAAAGGAGCGCTCTGCTTTGCCCCCCCAAATACCAAGAGGTGCTGCCCGTGGCCCGGCCCTGGGTCGGAGAGGGCGAGTGCCCAGGGGCTGGGCCTCCACGCGAGCTGCACATGGAACACCTGGTCCTCGCAGGGAGTGGCGATGACAGTGATGTAACATAGTTACCATTAAAAAAACATCAACCCACATCTTTGTTTCTCATCATCCTAAATGCTCCTAATAATGGCAGACGAGAAAACGAACTTTTCTCATTCATGACATTAACCATGGTACCTATGCTTCTTTTATACATTAACAGCAAAATGCATGAGGTCAGTGTTTTTCTGGTGCAATTTTTTTTTATACTCACTCAAGGACATTTATTTATTGATTTTAGAGAGAGAGGAAGGGAGAGACAGAAACATCGACGGGGGAGAGAGAAACACGGATGGGAGAACGATCGATCGGCTGCCTCCCATAGGAGCCTGGGAAGAGGATCGAGTCGGCAACCTAGGTCCGTGCCCTGGCTGGGAATCGAACCTGCAGCCGTTCGGTGACAGGACAGTGCTCCAACCAACACAGCCATGCTGGCCAGGGGTCCAGTGCCTTTTAATTGTTCTTTTCTGTACGCATACATTACACTCAATCCAATTTCCACTTGTTTTTCATTTTCAGACCTACATATACTTTCCAAGGAAACTATTAAAAAACCTATTAAAAAAATGGGTATTAAGAGTTAATCTCTTAAGAATGCTCCTAATTGGTGCCCAGCCGATTTCTACATTAGTGTTAAGTCAAGATAAAATGTTTTTAAAAGTGCCTCCTCTGTTCGGTTTGTGAGACAGTTGCCCTTTTTCATCACCTGCGGCAACTCACACACGTAGAGCTCACGCTGCAAACTCCGCGGCGAGAGACAAGCATCGGGGCGCGCCCCTCGCCCCGGCTGCTCCCACTGTAAGCGCCTGGCGTGCGGAGCGCGGTCCGCCACACACCAGCCTCATTCTCGCAAGTGAACCGAAGGGGGCACCAGAAATTCACTTTTCAGTGGTGATGAACCAGACCCGCCCACTCTCAGTGTTGACACCACTTAGTGGAAGGACGCCATTTCTTGCCCCTCACCCGTGGCCCAACCAGAGGCTGCTGCTTGGCCTATCACGTGGTCGGATCACCAGCCAACGAACCGGAGAAATCTGCAAAGTGCCCGAGCTGGGAGGCCTGCGGTCTCCCTCCGTCCCTCCGCACACCTCAGAGGCGAACGCTGACGGCGACCCCACACCCCGCTCCAGAGCTGGGGGACGCAGCCCGTGCCTCTGGCTCAGGATGCCTGTGGAGGCGGGGGAGGGGTGGGGGGGCCGTCCTGCCTCTAGGAACTAGGCTTCCTCAGAAGACATACCATTTTCTCACCTCTTAGTACATTAAATATGCATGTGTTCTCAAAAACGGCTTATGATGGCTGTAAATAAAAAATGAGAAACTAAACGGCCTCTAAATAAATGCGAAATTAACATTAATAGGGGGGGTGACTGTACATTATGGCAAACTGGGTTGATTCAATGTGTTAGAAATATATTTGACAAAATAAAATAGATTTCGTTACCATAAACTCATTTTGTGTGTGTATACCAGTCGAGGAGATGCTTATCGAAGACCTAAGCGTAACAAAGTGAAAGAATCAAAAGCCCACAATTGGTGTTAACAGTGCAGCTTATGCCTATTAGAGACGCATCTAATTAAAAGTGATGTGGTCATGAGGTTAGAAGCTTAACACATTTCTAGGAGGGGGAGCGGGAGTCCCCAAGGTGTAACAACAAACACAGGAAGATAAGAAGCTTAAATTGCCCACACTGGCTGAGGACCGATTTTAAACCCAGGTGTCCCTGCGCCGGTCCCGTCGGCACACCCACAGGGTGCCAGGGCAGCTCTAACCGGGGCCGTGGTCAAGGTTGTCTCCGGCTGCCCGGCGTTGGGCCGGACGCCCTGAAGCCACGCCCCTTCCCAGGCTCCTACCTGGTGGAGTCCAGCGAGGGCTTCGTCCGTCCCTGGCAGCTCTCCTCCCAGACGCTGTTGGCCAGCTCGTTCCCAATGGACAGCATCACCTTGATGAGCTCGATGGGCCAGTCGTCCAGGTCGAGCGATCGGACCCGGGAGAGGTGGGTGCCGAGATTCCGGTGGATCCCCGAGCACTCGATGCACATGAGGGCACCCAGGTTCAAGCTGGCCCAGTTGGGGTCTGTGGGGAGAGGGGCGGGCGCCACATGCGGTCAGACAGTCCCCAGGCAGGCCCTGCCCCTGGGGTCTCGGTGGCAAAACCGAGTCAGGCGGGCTTCGCCTCCAGCCTCCCTCCCTCGGGGCACAGTGTCAAAGACGCTCCCAGGCCACTGGTTGCCACCGCTTTGGGGGTCTTGAGAAATCGAGCTTGCTGGTGGCTCTGTTTCAACATCTGGCTTTGGCCAAAACAATGCCTTGAGCGCCTCTTCACTCGACAACTGCGATCGGTGGGTGGGACAGAGACGCGTAGCTCCCGGTGCTTCCAGCAGCAGCACAGCCCTGAGCGCGCAGGCCCTCGGGAAAGGGTCGCGTGTGACTCGGTGTCCGCTGCCCGCAGCTGCAGGCGCGGGGCGGCTCGGTCATTCCCAAAGCTGGGACATCCTCACAACCGCCCCCCGCCCGCAGGCACCCCCGAGCTTTTGCTCGTCACAGCAGGGGCCTGAGGGCACATTTCAAGGACGAACGGGAGGCAGCCCGCTGCCCGTTGCAGGAGTGAGCCCCGGCACCCGCCCGGCGCGGCGGGTCCACGGTGGGGCCCCGCCCCATGCCGCTGGCCCCGACCAGCAGCACGAATGGTAGGGGGCCTTTGTGACATGGCGCCGAGGGCAACAGATGGGCTCAGAGAAGAGCTTGGGACCCCTGGGTGGGCTTCATGCCGGCCCCCACAGCCGGCCCACAGACGTGGGGCTGACCCTGGCCGTCGGCAGCTCTTGGGTCGTCCAGGGACGATCGGCGTTTACTCCAGGTGCCCTTGAAGGGCCGGCAGCACCAGCCACCACGGGAGCAGGTAGCTAACATGTTTACCCCGGACCATCCACAGATGGCAAACGGCCAGGAATGGCGGTGCGCGGACTCATTGGAAATCAGCCAGCCGTTTATTTAACGTCTAACGCCTGCCCGGGAAGGAGGAGGCTGGACCAGAGGGCACACGCGAGGACAGAGGACTGTGGCCGTGGCGGCAGTCCAGTTGGGAAGAGAAAGCAAATGCCCCAAATAAAAACAATTAAGAAATAAGGATTGAGGAAACGCAAGCAGAACACTGGGTGACCTCCGGGCAGACCGCAGGGCCACAGGGAGGCCCCCGCCCGGCCACACCCCCAACCAGGCCGCCTTCCGACTGGCGCCCACAGCACCTTCCCCATCACCCGCCTCCCCAGGGCCCGCCTCAACACGGACTCGTGTGAACAGAGGACCGGGCGGGCCAAAGCAGAGGACAGGCCTGCGGGCCACTGGCGGGGGGGACAGAGGTGCGAGGGAACGGGCGGTTCCGAGCAGGGGCACAGCTGGTGCGGTGGGAGCAGACAGGGGGACTAGGGCAGGGAGGGGACAGGCTCGTGGGGACAGCACCGGGCTTACAGTAACAGCAGTCAGCGCCCGTGCCGACCTGCACTGCGGCAGGGGCCGCTGGGGATGCTTGTGCCCACACCAGGGGACCGGCCTCCTCAAGCCCAATGCCAGGCCCTAAGGGGGCGCAGGTGCTGCAGCGTGCGCTGGCATGCGAGGGGGGGACAGGCCCCACGTGCCCCGGGGAGCCCCCGAGAGGCTCCAGCAAGCACAGCCCCAGAGGCGCCCAGCCCGCTGCCCCGGCAGCCGGGTTCAGAGCCCGGCTCACCAGCCTCCCGCCCCGTCCCCGCGTGCGGTCCCCGCGTGCGGCCCCCTGCTGAGGCCTGCGGTCAGGGCCTCCGCACAGTGTCCCCACTGTTGCTGGTGTATGTGGCCCCGTGTTGCTCACCGGAACCGCTGCGAGAACCTCCTACTGGTTCCGAAGCCCGCCCACCACCCCACCGCCCCGCCCCCTGCACGACAGGCCTGATGGTCACAGCAGCCCTTGAGCTGGGAGCACTGCTGCTGCCCGCGCTCCAGGGAGCTTCAGCAGCTCTGAGACTCGGCCGGGAGCAAACCCTGTGACCTGAGCAGTGACAGCCACACGCAGGACATGACCCGACGGCCGTGTGCAGGCTGCTGTGAAAACCAGTGACACTGAAGGCAGGCGGGGGGTAAGGTGACACCACGACCCGGACTGCCACCGATGAGACCGGGCGTGGCGCTTGCAGGGGTGGCCTCCGCGCCAGCAGATGGGTGACTTCTCGGCAGTGTCAGCATCGAAGTGTCACCTGCAGCCGTGACCAGGGACACCCCCACAGCCCAGCGGGTGCCTCTGCGTGTCCGGCACCCGGGGGAGAACCCCGTGCCCTTCAGACTCCGAGTGTCTCCTGCCTCCGTCTCGGGCCTCAGGCTCCTGATGTCCAGAGAGCGCGCGCAGGCTCTGCACCAGCAGGAGGCTGCAGGCTGGGGTCCCAGGACTGGCTCTGGAGAGCGTGGGCCATGCTTCCCCGAGGCCCAGAGGCGGTCGCGGAGAATGCGGAAGCCCGGATCCCACGCGCGTCCCAGAGAAGGGCCTGCCTCCAGACAGATCCTGGGCTGAGACCTGCGGCTCTTGCCGGGACCCCCATCAAGGGTGGCGCTCAGCCATGATGCCTGAGGGACCTGCAGAGCGTCCCCAGTTCTCCTCGGGAAGAAACTGCGTGGGGCTTGGGGGACAGCGCGGGGGAGGTGGAGGCCAGGCAATTTCCTAGGACGCACGTGCTCCGTATAGAGACATCAGAGAAGCCCGATCACCAGAGACCCCGTCCAGCAGGGACACCTGGGTTCACATGCTGGAACGCACCTCATGGCGCTGCCCCCGCCCCCGACACCAAGGAGGAGCCCTGGGCTCTCCGGCACTTGCTGCCCGGCTATGCCTTCAGTTCGCAGCGCACCGCGAAGTCTCTCCGCCACAGCGAATGCAGCTTCTAACGGGACTCTCCCAGTTTGCATACGATGACACCCTGAGAACACATCGCCCCACCAGCATGTCCTTCATTTTCACACGTTGGGATGTTGCGACATTTGGCTCCATAAAGAGTGCTGTGACGGACGTCTTTGAAGCCAGATCGCTCCCCCCCCGCCCAACTGCTGGCCTGGCTGGGTTCCTGGAGGGGCACAGCCAGCGTGAGGGGTCCCACGCTGTTAAGGCTCTGTACTTTGCCCAACAGCTCATTGTCACTCTGTGGATGGGACGTGTCCCAGCCCTTTCAGAATACCCACACTGGTATTTCGACTTAAAAATAACAGCTTTTGACAACATGCCCTCTCTTTGTGTCCTTGATCCTGGTCCCTCCATCTCCCTTGTTCTCTGAGAAGATGCAGCAGGCAGCCAGGGCTTGGTCTGCCTCCAGCTACACGACCTGCTAGGTTTGCAGCCTGGCCTTCAGACTGTTTCCACCCCTACCCTGTAAGCGGGCCCTGGGCTGGCCCCAACTGCTACAGGGCTGCAGGAGCTAAAGAAGTCAGCCCCATGTGTGCAGCTCGGCTAGACTGTCCCCAACCACCGCACAGGCCCCGCCCCTAGGACCCTCCCCGCCCCACGCCCCACTGGGCTCCCACTTACTCTGGGTCTCGCAGTCCACGCAGTGCGAGTTCCCGCGGAGGCTCCGTATCGACTGCAGGGCCATGGCCTCGCTCTGGCTTGTCAGCCGGGACTGGACGTGGGGGAGACACACAAACACGTGCTATGAGAACCCCGAGGGGAATGCACGAGGCCTCCCGCAGCACCAGGGAGAAAGAAAACCACCACCGTGCGTGCAGACACGGCAGGAGGGCAGTTCCAAACAGCTGCCCCTCTTCCGCCGTCCGTAGGGTACATGGAACTGGTGGTGGATGTGCTGCGCGGGAACACCTCCATTTGATCCACCAGGTGAGAACGGCTCTGCTAGAGGTGGGGACCGGGGTCCGCCCCGATCCCTGCTGAGTGAACGCAAGCACACAGCCGCCTGGGCAGTGTTGCTGGTTTACGTACCCCTGCTACACGTGTGTCTGTCTACCTGGCGTGAAGGGTAAAGGCGGAGGAAGAAATTTTCTGCGGATAAGCTAAGGGCCAGGCCTCACTGGCACCGCAAAGACACCTGTCACTGCTCCCGGTCAGGAGACCATGCCCACACCGCTCTCCTCACCACCGGGTGTGGGGCAGGGAGTGAGCGCGGCCCACCGGGGCTGTGCTTCTGCTTCCGCTTGACTGTCTTATCTGAGCCAGTTTAGAACGTAGGGAAGGAGGACAGGCACGTGAAAATCTATCGGCTAGGATGTGGTCATCATCACCCGTGAGTTTTGTTAATATTTTGGTAGCTATGCTTGCAGCCTTTTTCTAAGCACATCTACACACATGCAAGTACGTCTTAAAAAGACAGCATAGTGTTTATTGCTTTGAAACCTGCCTTTTGGTTATTAATAAGATATGTTGACTCTCTGTGCCATCTGTTTTCCCAACATCATCATCTTAAATGCTGCATATATGCACCCTGGCTGGTGCGGCTCAGTGGATTGAGCGCCAGCCCGCGAACCAAAGGGTTGCAGTTCAAGTCCCAGTAGGGGCATGTATCTGGGTTGCATGCCAGGCCCCCAATAGGGGGCGCTCGAGACCCAACCACACATCGATGTTTCTTTCCCTCTCTTTCTCCCCCCTTCCCCTCTCTAAAATAAATAAAATCTTTAAAAAAAATAAATGCACAATATTCCCCTTCGGATGGAATAAAATAAAGGCAAATAAATAAGTGACTTATTTATGACGTCTCCGATTTTCCTCCACTGTACACAGTTTGGAGCGCTGTTCAAGTCCGTGGTTATTAACTAAGGATAAATTCCTGGCCACTGAGGTGCGGGGTAGAAGCATATGCACCATTTTTAAGGTGGACGCTGTGCGCATGTAATATAATGGTTAAAACCAAACAGATCTCAGGGGCCATTTAGAATAAGCTTGATTTTTGTGTAAATTCTTCATAAACTGAACTATCTCACATCAAATTGACTGATGTGAAATACTTTATTGCTTACCACCTAATAATGTAATTTATTAGTTGCTTCTGTTTAAGTAGCATAATGGAATGCATTATTGGGGTTGTATGCCCTGTGGTTAGATACCCAAGTATTCAAAGGATGTTTAACCTTTTCCACTGGCACCTGGAGTGAGAGTGTGTGAGCGCGCGCGTGCGTGCAGGGCTGTGTCCGGCCGTCTCTGTCTGCTGTACCACTGCAGCAGCGTGCGGACGGAAGCACGTGCCTGCACCTGCTACCAGCTGCGTCACCCACAGGCGGCTCACCCTCACCTACTCAGTGTTTTGCCCTCGAGACATTCCTTGTGGGTGCTGCTTCCGTGCGCACTCTCTCACGCCTGCTCGACCACGCCCCGGGAGGGGCGAGCCTGCCTCCCTGGGTGCCCAGCCGTCTGCCCAGGACGGTGACCCGTCTCTCCGGAGCAAAGTGGGGGCATTTGAAAGCTGGTGTTTGCATCGTTGGGCCCCAGGGTGATGCCGTGGGTTTCGCGGGGAGTGGGAGGAGCCTCATGAGGTGTGAGAGGGACAAGCCTAACCCGCTTCCAGATCCTTCTGAATGCCGACGTGGTATGGCTTTGGGATGACCCAAGACACTGCGATTTTAAACCAGATCTGGAGATGTGTTTATCTGCTCAGCAGCACCGCCTAACCTGCTGCTGTTCTGAAACGACACCCCCATGTTTGGCAGGTGGTTGGCCCGGGGAGCGGCCGCATCACCCGGGAACCACGTCTGTGGCTGTGGGACTCACGAAGCCAAGGTGCTCAGACACGTAAGGCAGCGCTTCAGCCCACCTTGGGTATAAAACCGCTTTAAAAAAGAGAAGCAAATTACATTATAATAATAATGACTGTGGTCTGGTTTACCCTGGTTAAAGAGGGTAATAAAATAAGACACTCCATCTTGCTGAGAGACAGGCTCCCTTCTTAATGACAAAGCTGAACATAAATCACGCACAGGAATTTCTTTAAATTGTTACAAATGAAACTGCTGGTCGGTGGGAAATGTTCTTTCTCTTAGTTCCAAGTTGACTGTAGTTTGAAAATGCTCTCCAAGACTCTAAAATGTTCCAGGAAAGGGGCTAAAAACATCCAAGCATTAAAATACTGAATTTGAAGGAATCCCTGATGGGAAGAAGGCCATGGGAAAAATGACATTTGCATAAGGAATATACACGGGGCAGGGCCCTAGGAATTGCAGGTTAAAGTCGCTTTGTTTTTCCTGGCTAAACGATGCCAGGTCACTGCCTCTAATTAGTGAGTAAAACACAACAGGACTTGCTGGCCGAGCTGAGAAGATGGACGCGGTGTCTCCCCCGGCGCCTTGCACGCCACGTGTGCGCGTTTACTTTTGTTCCCATCTGTATCAAGGGTCAGTTTCTAACTTGACGTGGGCTTGAATTTTGTGCATTTAGGAGGACAGAACAGTGCACATCTTTTTCTCCTGAGTGTAATCTACGTAAAATAAAAACAGATGTGGATGTATATGTGACCAGAGTCCGAAAGCTTCTGTCACTTAAGGGTCAATGCCTTAGACCTGGGATGAGTTGAGAGAGTAAAGATTTCAGCGGGGCGTTGGGCCACAGGAAGGTGGTTAGTCGAGCTCGAGAGGGGCCTGACGTCTGATACGTGCGGACACAAAGGGTCCTCGTCGTCCCCTCAGCCAGCTCTCCGCATGGGAGGGGCACCGGGGGCGGGCCAGCCACGCGTGTCCCGCGACGCTCTGCCCTCCCTCGGGCATCGCTAGGTCCCCTCATCCCTTCCCCGATCAGCCGCCCTTGACTTCGGGGGACAGCTCGCCGCGGGCCTTACCTTGTTCTTGCTGCTTTCACACGACTGGAGGCTGGCTAGGATCTGGCTCTCGATGGCTTGGACCCACGCATCTCTCTCTTCGTACGTGGTGGCTTCAAAGTGCCACGTCTGGCCAGTGAGGGACACGATGATAAACTCAAAGTTTTCTTCTTGCTCTGAAACAGAGTGGTGGGGGCGAGAGTTTAGCCTTCCTGTGGCCGCGGCCCCGCCACCAGGCGTCGGCCAGAAAAGTGCCCTTGGGTTCGATGGCGCCCGCACAGGGCTGGCAGCCCGGAGCGCAGAGCTGGACCCAGAGGCCTCCCAACACGCAGAGTCTGGCTCCCACAGCCCGCGTGGCCCGGCTTGGCCACCCTCTACGCCGGAGGGCGAGGAAAGGAAACGCAGGGTGTGACTCGGTGCCTCTGTGCTGGGCGCAGGCGGTGCAGGAAAACCCCACCGTAACTGACTGCCAGCCCTTCCACCCGTCATGTCTGCGGGATGAAAACTCAGTCAGCGCCGCTAACCTCGGTACAGCGCTGGCTCCCTCGCAAGCGTGTGTGCGGGTCGCAATGCACCACAGCTGCGGGGTGCCTGGGGTTCCGGCTCTGCTCTGGCAGAAGATCCGGGGAGGCTTTAATTCCATGACTTCTGACTGGGAAAGAGAGCGGGCCCCCGGAGATCCGAAGGGACTTCGCAGCCGCCACGTGGCGACAGTCTGGACCAGGAAGGGTTGGACTTGCATCCGCTCCTGCTTGGCCACGTGCCACATCGGGCTCTTTTAACAAGTTCCGGGGCCCTCCGCGGCCCCTTCCTCGCCCCTACCGCGGGGGAAGGCCACCCACGGCATGGCGCTGCCCACGGGCTGAATGGCGGGAACTCACTCAGGCCGGCAGGAGCCACAGGGACGCCCCACAATGGTCAGCATTTGTCCTCTTTTCTCACGCCCCCCTTCCGCCCCCGTCCCTGCCTCGAAAACGAGAGAGGCGGCGGCACACAGAGACAGCATAACCCGCCACAAATAACCGCCAGGACGTCTCCTGCTGGACTATTAGGCACCGCATCTCATTTCTTTCCAAGTTTCCGATCACTGGGCCGTGAACTCGCTGCTACATCACCTGGTGAGCAGTTGATATTAATAATGATAATGACCCGCCGACCTGCCTGGGTGACCACTGCCTTAGTTAATTATTCTCTCAGCTGCCTGCACACCGCCACGCAGCTCTCATCTACGGCATGAGCCCCCGCGCGCTCAGCGCCTGCAGCCCGGCGCCCTGGCGCCCTCATCCCCTGCGACCCCCGACCTCTGGCCCCTGACCTCTGCTGAGCTCCCTGCTGCCCTAGGGCTCTCGAGAGCCTGCCTCGCCAGGAGTCCTTGACCTCCAGACAAGGACACTCAGGCAGCTCACCTCCGAAGGAACCACACTCGTGTCCTGGTGCCCTCACCTCCTTCCCGGCAGCCCCAGGAGAGGAGCAGCCCCCAGTCTGCGGCTGAGACCCTCCCACCTGGCCCACGGGCCCCGGGTGGGGGGTGGGACAGGGCCCAGGACGGGGATGCTCATGTCCTTGTTAATGCGCAGCCAGGCCTGGGGGATGGCTTCCCTAAAGTACCACGCATTGCCATGGAAATGGGGCCAGGACTCCCGTGCTTGAAACCTTTGCGCGCTCTGGTGACGACGGTATTGTTCTGTGCAAAAGCGGCATCGCTGTGCCTTTTGGACTTAACCTCCTGGTGAGTGGGGCTTAAATCTGTGGAACTTGTTCAGAAGGGTCCCTGAACACAGGGACGGGTGGGCACCTCCTTTTGTCAAACCATGATGGGTTCATTTCTTGCAGATTTCCAGACGCACCGCTCTCCTGTATCTAGCCTACGGCTACTCAAATGCCTCCAAACCCTCCGCACCCTGGCCAGTCCCTTCGCCTCGGCTTGGCCACGGGCCTCCGTTCCCAGCATCTTCCCGTTGCGGAGCCTCTTGCCTCGACTTTCAGCCGGCCCGCCCGCCCGCCCGCCCTCAGAGCGGCCCCCAGATGGAAGAGACCACTCCCGGACTCCACTCCCCGGTCTGGGGGAGCCCGGGGCAGGCCGCGCCTTGGCGATGTCCGGCAGGGGCCCGTCAGTCCCGACGCCCCATGGGGGTGAGCCACGGCGGCCCCTTCCTGGTGCGGCGCGGGGCAGGGCCCGGTGCTGAGGGTCCCGGGCTGGCTCCAGGCTCTTGGAGAGGGAGAGCGACGATCCACCAGCCATGTCTGGCCTGGGGGTGGTGCGGGGACGTGGGGTGGGGCGGTGCGCGCCTGCCACCTGTTCCCCCTGCTCAGCCCGAGTGTCCCCTCTAGCTTTGGAATCGCTTCTGACACCTGAGGACAGTTCTCACGCCTGTATCTGGGACCCCCAAATCTTGTCATTCTGGGATTTTAAAAATGCACACAGTCACCCCTCAAATACTTGATCCTCACATCCAATCAGCATGTGCAAGCCAGCTGGGCCGTGGCCCTCACAGGCTCCTGTTACTGGTTAGGGTGCTATGTTTCTAGTCATAAAACTCCAAAGTCACCCCGATGCCACCCTCCCCCTCTTGCTGCTGCCATCTGACCCGTGACAGCGCCGCTCGCCCTGTGCCCAGCCTGCACCTCCCTCCCCGCTTCCTTCCACCTCAGGCTGCCCGGCAACACGACGCACAGGACGCGGGCCAGGGCCTTCCCTCCTGAACCCGCTTTTTACTGCACTGATAGACCCACAGGGGGCACAATGGCCACGCCCCAAGCCCACCCTCTCTCTCCACCCAAATCAAATCCATGCTCGAGAAACCAGAACTGTGAGAATTAAGGGCTAAACGTCCCCAACGGGGAAGGCTCCCGTAGGGAGCGGGCACCTGGGCGGCTCAGCAGAGGAAGTCACAGTCAGGTGCCAGAGAGAAACCCGGGTCCTGTGTCCAGCGATGCCGGAAGGAACGGGACCACCGTGGCCCTCGGTCTGCAGAGCCCCTTGGCTTCTGGCAAGTTCTCGGGAGGAAACCATTCCAAATGATGGCCACCCGTGGGAACGCGAGACCGAGTCCACCCAACGCACAGGACGCAGGACAGCGGGTTTACATCCGCACATTACAGACACAGAGCTCAAAACAGCTGTGAGATGTTTAAAGGAACAGAAAAAGGGACTCTCCCGAATTTTCAAGTGAAAGGAGACCACGAAAACGGGCCAGGCGGATCAGAGTAACAGGTAAGTCTTTTGGAAATACAAATTATAAATGTTCAAGAAACCAAGTCCTCCGCGCTTGGAGAAGGGCTGGGTGAGAATGGGGGGTGGGGGTGGGGCACGGCAGATCTGGAGAAACGGGGGGCAGGGAGGGCGGGCGCTGTGATGGAGGGCGGCTGCGGAGCGCCAGCGGTGCCGGGAGCGACTGTGCACCCGCTCGCCGAAGAGCCTGCAGGCGGCAGGGCCGTACAGGGCGCCCAACCTGCGGCCCAGGACGGCTGTGACGCGGCCACACACGGAATCGTAAGTTTACCTAAAACCGTTTTTTTTTTTTTTTTTTTTGCTTATCAGTTTTCGTTAGTGTTTATGTATTTCTTGTGCAGCCCAAGACAAGTCTCCTCCTTCCAGTGCGGCCCAGAGACGCCCAAAGGCTGGACAGCCCCGGTTCCGATACAGAGTTCTCGATCTGGGAGGCACCAGGTTTACCGAGACGGACTACCAGCCACAAGGAGAACTGCACCCGAAGTTAGCAAAACTGCAAAACCAAGGACAAAAAGAGGCTCTTAAGAACAAAGAAAAGGCAGACGGCTCTTCAACACGTGTCAATAACGCAAATGACAGCTACTCAAAGGACCCCGCCCATATGCAGGACAGAGTGACAATGTCCTCAAAGTGAGGGGAGGAAAGAAGGTCTAGAGTGGGGGCTCAGTCAAATGTGCTTTCAAGGAAAAAATGACAAGAGCCTATTACCAGTAGGCCCTCACTAAAGGAACTACTAAAAGGTACGCTTCAGAAGATTCTAGAAAGGTTAGTAGAGCTAGAAGGTTGGTGAGCAAATAAGTTAAATAGGTAGCTACATCGAAACAAAAATGATGCCAAATACTACTGACGACTACCTTGGGGCAGGTACAAACACTGGGGAAATGAGAGTGAAGGTGAGGAGTAAAAATGGCCTGGACTTCGTACTGTCCCCAGGGGAGTAAGAACTGACTTCAGATTTTGATAAATTAGGTACACAGGATACAGTGACCTCTACAAGAATATACAATGTGAGCTTCCAAATCAGAAGAGGAAAAACATTCGAGAACAAAAACAAACATGATTGCAGTCTTTCATCAAAGGACTAGAAGGGCGCTCCCTTACGCTGGACAGCGGACGCCACTCCCAGCCCTCCGCGTTCTCCGTCTTTCAATGGCAACGCATGGCAACGCGTTAGAAACGATCATTTTGCATCACTGGGTGCTCACGGATGGCCCCGCTGGCCAGCACGGCGAGACAAAACAGGGAAGCCAAGGCCTGAGGGCTGGACAGATAATGACCCTGAACTGTCAGTCATGGATTACATGATTGCTCACGACTGGAGCCCCAAACAAGCTGCAAATGACGAGGAATAACGATAGCAAGGTACACGCCCAAGGCGACGAAAGGCGAATAGTACTTCTATGCCCTAGTGCCAAACCGAAATCATGTTTATATATGTATGTTTGAAATTCCTTTCTTTCCCTCTGTGAGGGAGCAAAGGAGAGACACAAAGAACTGTGAATAAGCCAAATACTTCCCCAGCAGTCACGACATCAAGGGCCACCGGGGACCTGCAGTCACGGTAACAGGTAACACTGCATTTGGCGGCGACGGGTTGGCCGAAGAGCATGTGACGATGGCAGATGCGCTCCCGCCTCGTCTCCTGGGAGAGGAGGTCCCGCCGGGCCTGGGCACTCTCATGGAATACCGAGACGGCTCAAAGGGGCCAAGAGCACACGGGCGCAGGACACCCTGTGACCCAGGCCTGGCGGACACCAGCTTGCGGGGAAGGGCCCAGGACTGCAAAGGGGGGGCCGCACGACACGGCCCGAGCGGCCCTGGAACGCACCTCTAGTTTCCCGTCCCCAGGAAGAGCCCCGCAGAAGTCCACTCATCAGAGACGCTGCTCTTTTTAGAGGGGAGTCCGGTGGGGCGACCGTGAACCTGGAAAGGCACACGCTCTAG